CGCTCACGTTCGCTTCACCTAGGGTTCTCCAAGCGAGATAAGCTCGCCTCGTCTCGCTTCTCGCCTAGGCGAGCTTTACAAAACACTGGAAACAACGATAGATCATTAGTCAAGTGATGTGTCGAACCAAAATCAAATACCCAAGTAGAACGAGACATACCTAAAAGAGCTGATGAAGACAAACCTATAGGAGAAGGAACATGTAAAGCATCCACATATAATGTAATTGCTGAATTCCCACTTGCCATAATCATATGTATAATGACAGAGGTCAATCTTAATCAAGGATTAAAGTAACTTGAAAATTTGGGGTTATGCTGAAAAATGTAGAAAATTAGGAGACTGATTCGGTAATTTTCAAAAAATTCTGAGCTGTTTCTATCATTTCTAAAAATTTGGGGGCTATTTCTATAATTTCAGAATATCCTGGGGCAGGTTCTGTAAATTCAGCACACTCAGGTAGATCCTGTTTAGTTCACTGTTAACAAAAACACTGTTCACGATCACGGTTCACTGCACACTGTCCACGATCAATGTTCACACACACTGTTCATGTACTATTAATTTCAACTAAATCCCAAGAAAAAGAGGAGAAACCTTTCTCTAGTACCATGAAAACATAGATCAAAGGAAAGAGTTCACACATAGAAAGGATAGGGGAAAAGAAAAATCATATGCAGCACTCTAATATTCATAATAATGAAAAGTGAGTACAAGGAAGGATCAAAATTTTGTTTCAGTGCATTGNCCAGGCGAGATAAGCTCGCCTCGTCTCGCTTCTCGCCTAGGCGAGCTTTACAAAACACTGGAAACAATGATAGATCATTAGTCAAGTGATGTGTCGAACCAAAATCAAATACCCAAGTAGAACGAGACATACCTAAAAGAGCTGATGAAGACAAACCTATAGGAGAAGGAACATGTAAAGCATCCACATATAATGTAATTGCTGAATTCCCACTTGCCATAATCATATGTATAATGACAGAGGTCAATCTTAATCAAGGATTAAAGTAACTTGAAAATTTGGGGTTATGCTGAAAAATGTAGAAAATTAGGAGACTGATTCGGTAATTTTCAAAAAATTCTGAGCTGTTTCTATCATTTCTAAAAATTTGGGGGCTATTTCTATAATTTCAGAATATCCTGGGGCAGGTTCTGTAAATTCAGCACACTCAGGTAGATCCTGTTTAGTTCACTGTTAACAAAAACACTGTTCACGATCACGGTTCACTGCACACTGTCCACGATCAATGTTCACACACACTGTTCATGTACTGTTAATTTCAACTAAATCCCAAGAAAAAGAGGAGAAACCTTTCTCTAGTACCATTAAAACATAGATCAAAGGAAAGAGTTCACACATAGAAAGGATAGGGGAAAAGAAAAATNATTAATTTCAACTAAATCCCAAGAAAAAGAGGAGAAACCTTTCTCTAGTACCATGAAAACATAGATCAAAGGAAAGAGTTCACACATAGAAAGGATAGGGGAAAAGAAAAATCATATGCAGCACTCTAATATTCATAATAATGAAAAGTGAGTACAAGGAAGGATCAAAATTTTGTTTCAGTGCATTGTTTCGGTCAGTTAGGAAACAAAAACATTTCAACATATTTCGAAAACATTTTGACCTATTTCAACAATAGAAGAAAAAAACAAAAAATTTAAGAATTATTTTTTCAAAACATTTAAGAATTACTTTTTCAAACATTAGTCGAAATATACCAAAATATCTTGAAACATTCCGAAATAATTGTACAAATGCATTGAAATATAACAAAACATTTCGAAACATTATGAAGTACCTCGAACTATTAGAATTTTAATTTCATCAATGATTCGTTTCGGTCTCCTTAAAAACGGAAATGTTTCGGATGTATTAACAGTTTCGAAACGATATTTTGATCCTTGAAAACATTATAGAATACCTCGAAATATTAGAATTTCAATTTCATCACTGATTCGTCTCGATCTCTTTGGAAACAGAAACGTTTCAGATGATTCGACTGTTTTGAAACGATATTTTGATCCTTGAATACAAGAGACAATATATAAGGAACCCTACAATAAGGAAAAGACTAAACTACCCTTAATGATAAATAAATATAATTACACTCTTAACAGAGAGAAATTATAACTTTTGTGTGTGTGTGTGTGTGTCTTTTTGTACATAACAATTATTGATTGTCATCGTCCATTAAACAAAAATGGATCATGATATACGACATTATATAAGACTTATGTTATAGATCAAGAGTATAATATACAAAAGATAAACGACTTTTATCTGAGCTTGATTTTAACCTTCTTCGTGTCCCAGGTGAGAAGTCTCTCATTATTTTCCATAGGCCTAAAGGCAACAGCTAGGTTATTCACTAAAGATCCATTTGGTTAGAAAAAAAAAATGGTGGAAAGTGAAAGTGAAGTGAAACAAAGGAAAAATAAAATAAAATATATTTTCTTTCATGTATTTAGTTAACATGAAAATTTTAAAACAAAAATTTAAAAAAATATTCATTCTATCGTTTGAAAGGTAGTAAATTTATTAGAAAATTTTGAGAATTGCCTAAATCATCCTAATCTATATTGAAGGAGATGTTGAACTTGAAAGACTATGCATTGATCCACCTATTATGATACAATAAATTAAATATTATTAACGTAGAAACGATGCATGGTTGACACATTACCATTTTTATCTCTTCAAATAGAGATGTTAAAATTTAGAAAATTAGAAAAAATATATTTTTATGCATTATTTGGTTAGCATGAAAAACTTGTAAGAAATTTAAAAAAAAAAAATCATTCTATTGTTTAAAAGAAAAGAAAATTTATTTAATTATCTAAATTACCCTTAATTATATTAAATCAAGTTTAGCTTTGTTGAGGGCTTCTTGTTTTTTGGTTCCCTAGTTAGTTTAGTTGAATTTGATATCCATATATGGGAAAAGATAAGAGATGACTATAGGCAAAAAGGTCAAGTGTGAGCATTAGCCCACATTTTCACGCCCTGTTAGTTTTGCAGGAAACCAAAAGTGTCGTATACAAGAAAATTTAGTGGGTCCTACGATCTTACTTTTCCTGTAATTTCTCCCTTTTTCTTGCTAAACAAACAAGAAAAAAGTTTCATTTTTTCCTTTCTTGTATTTTCCAACATTTACTCGCTAACCAAACAAAACCTTAAAGGTTCTAAGTAGCAAGAATTTAAGTAGACTTACACCTCATCAAAGTTTAGCTGTTCGTAACTAACCCTGTGCTTATTGCCCAAAAATAATAAACAAAGAGACCTTAAAATTTCCCGAGGAAGCCAAACCAAGCATATAGAATTGATGATAACACGGAAGAAGCATCTTCCAACTGACACTTGCAATAGAGTAATTCATATTCACGAGTGCACAAGCCAAAACTAGTGTTCCGGCTACAAGCTCACTCTAAAGCATTGTTAGTACGTACGATACGCGATACATATCGTACGATACGTTACAATACAGAGGTAAAACAATACGAATCGGAGTTTTGTATCGTTTTTACATAGTATCGTCCGATACACGATACGATACGCGAAGTCTTTTTCTTTTTTTTTTTGGTAAATCAATCGCAACTACCGGCAATTCCAATGGAACGGCCGAAATTCCTGCAAAATCAAAGCCCACCACTACCCTCATCAAAAAAAATAAGAAAAAAAAGAAGAAACCTATTACAAACATCTCTGACCCAGCATAAGTGTCCCCATCATCAACTTCGTCTTGTTGTACGTCGTCGTATTCACATTCAGTACCAAGAGGCATTCGTGTTTCGAATAGTCACCAAAACCCTAGATTCTTGATTGGAGAACGATGTCGAGGCTCTCGTGCTTCCTCCTGGAATGTCAATCGCCGCTGTTGTCGCCCAGGTTCGATCAATTTGTTCTTGTGTTTTTGCGTGTATGTGTTGCATATTTGTTAGAATATATGAATCGATCGTGCTCACGATCACGATCTCTTCTCTGCCTCTCGATCGTGCTCACGATCTTTACCTCTCGTCCTTTTTTTTTTTTNAAAAAAAAAGTGAAAGCAGAATCGTCTTTTATAATAAAGCGTTCGCTTTTTCGCTTTTTCGTTTTTTCGCGTTTCGCTCACGTTCGCTTCACCTAGGGTCCTCCAGGCGAGATAAGCTCGCCTCGTCTCGCTTCTCGCCTAGGCGAGCTTTACAAAACACTGGAAACAATGATAGATCATTAGTCAAGTGATGTGTCGAACCAAAATCAAATACCCAAGTAGAACGANACTTAGACCCCATGAGATTTATTACTTAATCACTTAGATCCCCTAGCATTTGAAATATTATACACAGACCCTCTAAAATTTATATACACGTAAAACTTAGACCCCTGCTGTAAATATATCTGTTAATAAATTACATCTAGACACCCTAAAATTTGTAAATATATATTTTATTATTAATTATTTAAAATTACGTGTCTTACAATACATTATACACGATACGATACACTATTTTTAAAAAACGATATACCTTCCGATACGCGTTTTGACAACTATGCTCTAAAGGTCAAAAGTAAAGAACTGAATCAAATATTGATCTAAAAAAACTGCAACAGAGCAGGAACTAAACAGGTCCACAGCATGAAGAGAAATACCAACCATCATTTCATAATATACTGACCAATCACTAAGGCCATTCTATATGTAATCACTTAATTCAAATGTTTAACAAGACTAGAATAATCCTGAAAGTTGTCCCAACTAGGTTAAACATAATATGAAAATTGGAAAGCAAAAAAAAACTCCAGAGTTAGTTGCAATATGAAAAGACATATTAAAACTTCGACAAAAAAAATAAAGAACAGAGGCTTGTGAAAGTTCAAAATTCAAGCATTAAGAACAGCATAAAAAATTACAAATGTCAAGCTACAAACTTCTTTAGTGAACATAAAATCTTAAACAGCAGACAATGCACCTTCATATCACACAAGTTTCTTGCCTAAGCGAACCATACATTCAGAAGCTAAACAACTTAGTTGGATGATCAGAATAAAGCAAGGAGGTACAGAAGATACCAGGGGGAAGATCAATTAGTGTGGTTGACTTAACATGTACCCCATGTTTCTTGCAACGTTCAGCCAAAGCCCTCAGTAGCTCCTCAAGATCTGATTGTATACGATCAGCACGAACCTATACAAGACAATAATGCTTTAACCTTGAACAAATTTGCAAATTGCTAGTGAGACTTCATTTTAGCATAGTGGTTTGATTCACCTGAAGAATACCATCTGCACTACCACCTTGTTCCATTTTATTGATTGCCTGATGCAACTCCATCTTCCTCTCCTAAAATACATCAAGGGGAATATTAAGTCAATAATATTTCCGAGAAAAATGTAACTGGGAATGGTTATAACAGCAGATGTGGCATCCCAAGAAACAACTCCATTAAATTTTCATAAAGGAATCGAGAATTTTTGTCACAGACAATCTGAAAGCCAAAAATGGATAGAAAGCAAGGTTGCTGCAGTGACAAGTCAAAATTGGACAACTTTTGAGGCAAAACCATAAGAAACCAGTAGAGATTGTATCATGTACTGACAGCCAACTGTTGAACCTATGACATGAGAATGCCACCACAATAAATTAGTTTGGGTGGATTAATTAGTCTGGTCATACCAAATGATCAAAACTCTTTAAGATCAGCCGGACCTAGCAATGGAGCTGGGAAATTTCGTGGTGGGTGGGCCCTTGGGAAGAGTTTCTGTAGCATCCAAATATCTGTTGAAACTATTCTCTCTCTCTCCAAAATTGAGAATCAAGCACTTGCCTCTAATGACTATCACCTCATATGGTATGAGCTTCAAGAGAGAAAATGGAAGCTTTTTTGGAAGTCATTGCTACTACCTACCATTCAGACAGCCATATGCTCAGGTAGTGGCTTGAGATAGTCACCATCATAACGCCAGTGGAACTTACAGATGTAGGAAAAATTGAAGATGGCCATAGTACTTGATATGTAGAAAATGGGGGTGATAGAGATGGTAAAGGGATTGGATAAGCATAAATTAGAGATTAGAATCTTATTTGTTTTGTATTTTTTCATAATAGTGTGACAACTAGAGTAACTGATGAGGATATCTAATACTCCCTCCGTTCCTAAATATCTGTCGTTTAAGGTTTTTACACAGGGATTAAAGAAGCTATTAAATAGCTCTAATATGAGTAAAAAATAATTACACAAGACTAAAATACCCTTATTCAATACGTATTGGGAAGGAAAAGAATATGAAAGACACTTAACCGACANTAAACAAAAATGGATCATGATATACGACATTATATAAGACTTATGTTATAGATCAAGAGTATAATATACAAAAGATAAACGACTTTTATCTGAGCTTGATTTTAACCTTCTTCGTGTCCCAGGTGAGAAGTCTCTCATTATTTTCCATAGGCCTAAAGGCAACAGCTAGGTTATTCACTAAAGATCCATTTGGTTAGAAAAAAAAAATGGTGGAAAGTGAAAGTGAAGTGAAACAAAGGAAAAATAAAATAAAATATATTTTCTTTCATGTATTTAGTTAACATGAAAATTTTAAAACAAAAATTTTAAAAAATATTCATTCTATCGTTTGAAAGGTAGTAAATTTATTAGAAAATTTTGAGAATTGCCTAAATCATCCTAATCTATATTGAAGGAGATGTTGAACTTGAAAGACTATGCATTGATCCACCTATTATGATACAATAAATTAAATATTATTAACGTAGAAACGATGCATGGTTGACACATTACCATTTTTATCTCTTCAAATAGAGATGTTAAAATTTAGAAAATTAGAAAAAATATATTTTTATGCATTATTTGGTTAGCATGAAAAACTTGTAAGAAATTTAAAAAAAAAAAATCATTCTATTGTTTAAAAGAAAAGAAAATTTATTTCATTATCTAAATTACCCTTAATTATATTAAATCAAGTTTAGCTTTGTTGAGGGCTTCTNATCATTCTATTGTTTAAAAGAAAAGAAAATTTATTTAATTATCTAAATTACCCTTAATTATATTAAATCAAGTTTAGCTTTGTTGAGGGCTTCTTGTTTTTTGGTTCCCTAGTTAGTTTAGTTGAATTTGATATCCATATATGGGAAAAGATAAGAGATGACTATAGGCAAAAAGGTCAAGTGTGAGCATTAGCCCACATTTTCACGCCCTGTTAGTTTTGCAGGAAACCAAAAGTGTCGTATACAAGAAAATTTAGTGGGTCCTACGATCTTACTTTTCCTGTAATTTCTCCCTTTTTCTTGCTAAACAAACAAGAAAAAAGTTTCATTTTTTCCTTTCTTGTATTTTCCAACATTTACTCGCTAACCAAACAAAACCTTAAAGGTTCTAAGTAGCAAGAATTTAAGTAGACTTGCACCTCATCAAAGTTTAGCTGTTCGTAACTAACCCTGTGCTTATTGCCCAAAAATAATAAACAAAGAGACCTTAAAATTTCCCGAGGAAGCTAAACCAAGCATATAGAATTGATGATAACACGGAAGAAGCATCTTCCAACTGACACTTGCAATAGAGTAATTCATATTCACGAGTGCACAAGCCAAAACTAGTGTTCCGGCTACAAGCTCACTCTAAAGCATTGTTAGTACATACAATACGCGATACATATCGTACGATACGTTACAATACAGAGGTAAAACAATACGAATCGGAGTTTTGTATCGTTTTTACATAGTATCGTCCAATACACGATACGATACGCGAAGTCTTTTTTTTTTTTTTTTGGTAAATCAATCGCAACTACCGGCAATTCCAATGGAACGGCCGAAATTCCTGCAAAATCAAAGCCCACCACTACCCTCATCAAAAAAAATAAGAAAAAAAAGAAGAAACCTATTACAAACATCTCTGACCCAGCATAAGTGTCCCCATCATCAACTTCGTCTTGTTGTACGTCGTCGTATTCACATTCAGTACCAAGAGGCATTCGTGTTTCGAATAGTCACCAAAACCCTAGATTCTTGATTGGAGAACGATGTCGAGGCTCTCGTGCTTCCTCCTGGAATGTCAATCGCCGCTGTTGTCGCCCAGGTTCGATCAATTTGTTCTTGTGTTTTTGCGTGTATGTGTTGCATATTTGTTAGAATATATGAATCGATCGTGCTCACGATCACGATCTCTTCTCTGCCTCTCGATCGTGCTCACGATCTTTACCTCTCGTCCTTTTTTTTTTTTTCTGATCAGACAGTCTTTGCTATGCTTTAAAATAGGAAAAATTACACTTAGACCCCATGAGATTTATTACTTAATCACTTAGATCCCCTAGCATTTGAAATATTATACACAGACCCTCTAAAATTTATATACACGTAAAACTTAGACCCCTGCTGTAAATATATCTGTTAATAAATTACATCTAGACACCCTAAAATTTGTAAATATATATTTTATTATTAATTATTTAAAATTACGTGTCTTACAATACATTATACACGATACGATACACTATTTTTAAAAAACGATATACCTTCCGATACGCGTTTTGACAACTATGCTCTAAAGGTCAAAAGTAAAGAACTGAATCAAATATTGATCTAAAAAAACTGCAACAGAGCAGGAACTAAACAGGTCCACAGCATGAAGAGAAATACCAACCATCATTTCATAATATACTGACCAATCACTAAGGCCATTCTATATGTAATCACTTAATTCAAATGTTTAACAAGACTAGAATAATCCTGAAAGTTGTCCCAACTAGGTTAAACATAATATGAAAATTGGAAAGCAAAAAAAAACTCCAGAGTTAGTTGCAATATGAAAAGACATATTAAAACTTCGACAAAAAAAATAAAGAACAGAGGCTTGTGAAAGTTCAAAATTCAAGCATTAAGAACAGCATAAAAAATTACAAATGTCAAGCTACAAACTTCTTTAGTGAACATAAAATCTTAAACAGCAGACAATGCACCTTCATATCACACAAGTTTCTTGCCTAAGCGAACCATACATTCAGAAGCTAAACAACTTAGTTGGATGATCAGAATAAAGCAAGGAGGTACAGAAGATACCAGGGGGAAGATCAATTAGTGTGGTTGACTTAACATGTACCCCATGTTTCTTGCAACGTTCAGCCAAAGCCCTCAGNAAAAAAATTGGGTAAAACGACAGATATTTAAAAACGGAGGGAGTACCTTATCTTTAGGATTAGATGTCTATATTATCTTAGCTAACAGATCTGCTATAGAGGACGATTATCCCTTTGTAATTCAAATCACTTGTAACTCAAACATCTTTTATAAATACAGCTGCTATACCCATTGATGGATAAGCCATTCAACTCAGGGTTACTCATGGTATCAGAGTCAACAATCATATAACCTTACCAATGGCCTCTTCAACTCAGTCTACCTCTCTTCCACTTACAAACATCACCAGCTTTGATTCGATCAAACTTAACGGCAATAACTATTTACTTTGGCATGACCAACTTGAATCAATTCTTATTAGCACCGATTTACTCGGCTTTGCTGATGGCACTATTCTTCCACCGTCACCTACTGCCACTGCAGAATTCGGTCAATCTGCACCTAACCTAGCCTACATCACTTGGCATAAGTCTAGCCATTTGTTAAAAGCATGTATTAATGCTACATTAACCGAGTCACCATCATCACAACTGTTTGGTCTAAAAACAGCCAAGGAAGTATGGGGTACCCTTCACAATCTCTATCACCAACAATCAACAGCCAATAAATCATACGTTCTCAAGGATATTCAAGGCATTTCCAAAGGAATTGATTCAATTTCAGATTATCTACGAGTCAAATCATTATCTGACTCACTTGCGGCCATCAATGAACGCATCAAATATACCGATCTGGTTCACTACACCTCAAATGGGTTGGGTATGGAATATATCCCCTTTATCACTGCAATTGACCATCGTAATCCACCCATTATTTTCTTTGAACTTTGTTCAAGTCTGCTAATTCACAAACAACGTTTGGCTACTGAAATTGGTCATAACCGATTGACTACTATGGAGCATGACACTACCCTTCATGCTTTTACCAGTTCATCCTCATACGGCTCTTCACATACGTCCCACAAAAAATACCAAAAACTCTCGGTTCAGTTCATCCCACCACCATAGATCACAACCAGTTCCTATTATCCATTCCCTTCTCCACNCGGCTCTTCACATACGTCCCACAAAAAATACCAAAAACTCTCGGTTTAGTTCATCCCACCACCATAGATCACAACCAGTTCCTATTATCCATTCCCTTCTCCACCAAGTTTCACCAATCAATCCCCTCAGCCAAAGTATCGCACCTCTTTTTGGCATCACTCACTGATACACATGGTCGTCCTCCGATTAAATGTCAAATTTGCTCCAAATCTGGTCACGCCGCGAGCAAATGCCGTTATCGTTGCTCTCTAAGGAAGTGTTACATCTACATAAACACCAACAGGATATTTTGGCTGAGGGGATTGATGCCATCAGCAATTCCTACATCAACACCAATAGGCGCTCATTTCACATGACTTTTGGCCTAGCAATCTTGCACCAATCCTCTGCATATTCTGGCCCTGATCACATCTATGTTGGTGATGATAAGGCTCTCACTATCTCCAAAATTGGACCTAGCACACTTTCTTTTTTTATTATTATCAAAAAGAGAAAGTCTTTACAAGACAAAGAGTACTATTAGACCAATGGTCAATTGGTATTCTAACACACTTTCAGCGCCCAAGGAAGTGTTACATCTACATAATACTTTGGTTGTACCGAAATCACTCATTATCTATTAGGATGATTCTCATGAAGGCCAAATTCGTGGTGACTTGTATTCAATCCCAACTCATTCGCCACTCTCCATCAGTAATAATGTGGCTTTTCTTGACAGCACTCAGATTTTCACATCTCTTTGGCACCGTCCCTTAGGACATCTGTTATCTCGTACACTCACATCTTTATCATAAATAACCATTAAAACTTTCAGATCATGTTTCGTCTGTTCCTTTGCATATTATTCACTGTATTTATGAGGGTTGTCTCTGATTTTGTTTATTTTTCGGCTTTCATTATGATTTTTTATTTGTGGACGATGTCAATCACTTTTCGTGGTTTTATCTATTGATGGTTAAATTTGATGCACTTTCATGTTTTTGCTAATTTAAAAATAGTGGAAAATTTATTTGCAAGAACTATCAAAAAATTTCAGTGCGATAGCGCACTTAAACTCACTCGTTGGCCTTTCAAAACCTATTTGGATGACCGTGGCATTACCTATAGAATTGCTTGCCTTCACACACTAGAACAAAATGGAATTGCAAAACGCAAGCACCGCCACATCACTGAGATGGAACTTGCTCTATTATTTGACTCTCATATGCCCAAGCGGTATTGGCTTGACACCTTCGCCATGGCCATGTTTATTATCAATCAAATTCCAACTCTGATTCGTCATCGCCAATCCCTTATGAGAGTTGTTGTTTGGCACTCTGCGGACCACACATTCTTGCGGGTATTTGGCTATTAATGTTTTCCATGCTTACACCCTTATCATCAAGACAAACACGGCCCCAAATCCATTTCATGTGTCTTCATCGGCTTACAGTAATTTTCCCAAAGGCTATCAATGCCCTGATCCAAGAACGGGTCGAGTTTATACATCTTGCCTTGTCATACTTAACGAGGAATTCTTCCCATTTGCAACTATTCCAGACCCGTCTTCCACCTCTTCGACGATATCATCTTCAGTTGCTAATGTTACTCTTCCTCTGGTTATTTCCACTACTCTTTGTCGAATCTACTGTCCAAGCAGTGCCTTCTTCTTTTGTTTCGGCTCCTTTATCACCATCTTTGGCTACTTCTCTTACAGCCCCGATGGCAGATCTCTCATGCACGACCTCAACAGCACAATTGCCCTCCTATTCACCTCTAATTGATCCGCTCCTTGTTGCTTCAAGCACCACTACTTCAGCCACCTTTGATGTCACTACCCCATCANTGACCTCAACAGCACAATTGCCCTCCTATTCACCTCTAATTGATCCCCTCCTTGTTGCTTCAAGCACCACTACTTCAGCCACCTTTGATGTCACTACCCCATCACTAGTTAACCCCTCTCCAAGTTCTCTTCATCCGATGGTTACTTGTACTCGTCACGGCACTCGCAAGCCCAAGGTTTCATTGGCAACCAAACATTCCATTCCTCAAACTTTTATTGCCACTTGCTACTATTGCTACATCCGAACCAACCTTCTACCATCAAGCAACCACTCATCCCAATTGGATTTCAACAATGGAGTCCAAATACCAGGCTCTTATCCGAAATCAAATATGGAGTCTTGTTCCTTATCAGTCAAACATAAATGTTGTAGTATGCAAATGGGTCTATCGCATCAAATGCCACAACGACGGCTCTCTTGAACGTTACAAAGCTCGCCTAGTTATGCAAGGCTTCACACAACAACCAAGAATTGACTTTACTAATACTTTTAGTCCAGTTGCGAAACCCACTACTATTCTGAGTTCTTAGCTTGACTATCTTGCACAACTGGACCATCCGCTAGCTTGATGTCCACAATCCCTTTCTTTTTTTTTTTTTTTGATAAGAAACAACAATTTATTGATTACCAAAAAGTCATAACAAGGGTCAATTCAAAGTTGGACAAGAAGTCCAACTCAATGACCTTTGAAAAGAAAAAAACAAAAACAAAAACAAAATTACAAGACACATGGAGCTTTTCAGCTAGCTCTAATACAAGAAAGATGAATGTCAACAAACTCCTTTGTCGTTGAAATCCAGAAAGAAACCAAAAAATGAAGTCTATCCCATAATCCCTCAATTTCTTGACATTTGTCCAACAAAATTCACAGATTCCTTTATTTCCAAGTCACCCATCACGTAGCAAAGAAGGCATTATGCCAAAGGATCTTCCATTTCCTATTTCCCCCAAAATCCTCATCATTAAACAAAACACAAAATTCATATTCCTTGGTACAACCCAAGAAAAATTTGCAAGGTCAAAAAGTTTATTCCAAAAAACTCGTACTAAAAGGAAATGCAAAAATAAGTGATCCAGTGATGCAATTCATAAGATGCTCAAGGAAACACAAATTCGAAGATGTGAAAAATAATAGAATTGACTTTCCATCAAGACAATGATCCATATAGAACCTTGCATTATTGTATTTTAATTCTTATTTTAAGTCAATTTGCTAGTATTAGCATTTTATATGTCCTTTTAATATTTTTTTAATGTTAGGGGTATTTTTTGTAATTTCTAGAATTTCTGGAACATGTTATATTTTTTGAGTCAAATTCTAGTGTTGAATATTCTAGAATTTAAAGTCCTAGTATTAATTAATTTTAGTTTTTTTATTTTTAGGAACCTAGAGTTTTAGGAGTCCTAGAGACTTTGGAATTCTAATCTTTTGGGAGTAGGATTACTTAGAACTCTATATATAGTTAGTGTTACTTTTAATAACATAGATAGAGAGAGATATTCAAAATTTTCAACAATTACATGTTTCTTGAGTTGTGTGATGCAATTCTAACCCTATGAGTGATTTCTAACCAAAATTATTACTCACGCTATTGTTCATAGCCCTATTATTGTTCACAGTCCCTGAATAGTCCCTATTTTTATTTTACAAAGTTGTCCTACATCATCCAGATTCTCATAATCATCTCTACACATAATACACCATTGCAGTCAAAGCTGTCAAACGCATATTGCGTTACATCAAAGGTTCACTTGGTTACAGCCTTCACAGTAAACCTAGATATCTCTCATGTCTTACTGCCTTCACTGATGCAAATTGAGCTAGTTACTCCAATACTTGTCGTTCTACTATTGGCTTATGCATTTTCTTGGGTCCCAATCTTGTGTCCTAACCATCCAAGAAGCAACCAATTGTTTCAAGATTAAGCATCAAAGCTAAGTATAAAGCTTTGGCTCCCACCACCACAGAAATGCAATGGCTTTTTTTTTTGGCTTCAAGATCTTCGTATTCCACTTCACAAACCAATGATAGTCCACAATGATAATCTTTGCGTATCACATATGGCTGCAAACCTGGTTCTTGATTCTGGGACCAAACACATTGAAGTCGACTACCACTTTGTGAGACATCTTGTTGTCCGGGGAACTCTTCAGGTTCATTTTGTTCGATCTGCATTCCAACTAGCAAACATGTTCACCAAAGGATTGTCGGCTCCCACTTGTCTTCGGCATTTATCCAAACTCCTATTGGTTCCCATTATTTGTTTGCAGGGGAGTAATAGTGTGATAACTGATGTAACTGATGAGGATATCTAATACCTTATCTTTAGGATTAGATTTCTATATCATCTTAGCTAACAGATCTGCTATAGACAAGTTTATTCTCCAATCTTTCATTTCCCATTTGGATTTTTTAGTTTATTAGATTATTCGTTTAGGTAGTATTTATCTGATACGAAGATTCAAATAGAGTTTCAATAGTAAAGTAATTTAGTATTTTTAGATGACATAGGCAATAAATATGGATATATAACAGTATGACTTCAAATTGATTTATGTTTTTTTGACCTAATCCTTGCGAGGATTCATCCCTTTTCTTTTCTTTCTTTCCCTTCCCTCCCTGCTGGGCTCAGGGGATCACTTGACTGGAATTGCAAAGCTTTGTTGAAGCTATGTTGGACGGTGTGTGTCTTTGTGGGCTCGGTTTCATGCTCTTTCATAATGCCCGTTTATGCTCGAGTCCGAGCAGAATATTCTCGTTTGGCTCATTTTTTTTTTAATTCATGCATCAAATCCAGATATGTTTGTTAACTTAGGAAAGAGTAAGAATACCGGTAGCAGTTGCCAGAAAAATGGCTGGAAGTGAGATCAAGAGTCCAGCATTGTAAAAGTTGAAGGCATGTGAACTCAACATTCTGGATTTGAAACGATACTTGTGTGCGTGAGTAGTGCTGCTAAATAAGAGAGTCAACATTGGTCTGAACGTTCAGGCCTTAATTTCAACCTTTTTACTTCTTTCCCTCCTTAGTCACTTGGTGTTTTAATTCGAAAGAGATTTTAACTTTTCCAACTTGTTGCTGATTTGGTGTGGCAGCAATGACCTGTTTCATTGCAATTGAGACCTTTATGGATCAATGTGCTTTGTTTGTTTGGGTTGCTTTTGGGCCTGGACATCCTACCAAATTGTTTTAATTTGTGTTGGATACTTGGATCTAATTCGTAATGTCCTATTCTTCAGTGACCCTTGCTGTCTCTAGATTGTCTCCCTGCCCTTGGGCGTGTAATGAGCTTTCTTGTACTATCTTCTCCTTTTTTGGAGCAAAATTATATACTTGCCAAATAAATAAATAGGACTCTGTACACAAGTCAATAAAAATCAGTCTGTGCATTCCAATGAATTGCCTAAGCAGAGATATTTCAGAGGTATAGTGATATAAAATAAGAGAACACATACATTACCTGCATATCACGAAATGAAGCCTCTTCAATCGTTAATTTAGAGGCAATCTCTGCAACTTGTTTGTATTTCTCTTCATATTTCTTTGCCAGTATCTCTGCCTGAAATAGAATGGTAACAAGCAACCTATTGAAGGAAAATAGAAGGGAAAAGAAACAAGATCCAAACAACAATGAGAAATACATATTTTTGGTATGAAAAAATACCTCACGCTTATCTGCCAATGCTCTTTCCGTGATCTCATTAAGTCGATTATCACATCTACTTTTGTATAAGACCTGGCGGTAAAATCCCAAAAAAAAAAACAAAACAAAAGGAACATAACAATTGTTTAGAAAACCAAAATGAATACATGTTGATGTTCTAAGTCTATGGAAAAATGCATGGCTGTATAATGTCAAATAACATGAACACCTTGTGCATTCAAGACACTTAGGGTAGAGAAAAATAACTACTCACAAGGTCCTGCATTTTTGTCCGGTAAAATTCAAGCTTCTCTTTGGAATCAAGAAGCACCTTCTCCTTCTCCTCAACCTTCCATTCACCCCAAAAAAAAACACAATCCATGGAAAATATTACAAAACATGTGATACTCTGCATATCCAAAGCATACACAAGTTTCTTAATGCAAAGAAAAAGTATAGAGGAAGAAGCAAAGAGAAAACAGGAAGGCACGTGAGATTAAGAAATCATTACGTATATAAGACTCCAAAACTTAACCATACTCTTCATATTGGTTTCCAAAATTCTTGTAATAATATAGAAAAAAAATAAGAATTCAGAAAAAGAAAGCAGTGACAAGTTGGACCAAAACCACAATTGTCCCTTTTTCTTTTTAACTTCAGTCTGAGTCAGTTTTATTGATTATAGGTTTAAATGAGCATTTTCTTTGAAGCCTTTTTTAGACTAGAGAATAGCAGTTTCAGGCTTAGGGCAACTCTATCTGCAGGCACTGCTCCATTACGTCATCCAAAAAATTGACCATATAAAGAACAATAATAAAGCGGATGTCCCTAATAATCCAACCAACTCATTCCCTGAGAAAGCATGGTTTGGTGTAATACATTGCAGATAACATGTTGATAAGAGAGATAATTAAATAAGAATCAATACATGAAGAACTATTTTATGGAATATTACAGCACGTACCCAGACTTCAAATTTCATGAGATGCTCAGAATGACTTTTGTAAATCCATGTCAAACTGACAAAAACATTGATGGAAGTGAAGTTTATAAAAGAGCAACAAACAAGTGGACCTCATATTTCATGTTTTCCACAACATTCTGTTATCTGCAGCTAGAAACATACTATATGTATCTTAATACAAGAAATAAAAGTCAATGATCGAAATGCTTCTTGCACTGACCATACACTTCAATTTTAATGGCAAGAATCATTAGAAAATTTGGATCTCGTTATATAATTTTACACTACAGATGAAACAAATGTTATCAATAATCAGACCAGATGGGTAGGTCTGGACTCTGCCAGACCATTGAAAATAGCATTCCCCGGTCAATAGCATAGTTGTCAAATCGCGTATCGGAAGATGTATCGTTTTTCAAAAATAGTATATCGTGTTTCGTAAGATACGCGCAATTTTAATTATAAAAAAGTCATAGACTCATAATAACATAGCATTTCATTAATATTCCACCAACTATTCAAGTTCCCAATATAGTTCAATAATATCAAAATGCAAAGACCTCTAATTCAGCTTGAACAATCTTAATATTAATCAAAAATTTTGAATTCAATTGAACAACATTAACTGAAGACTTTATTTATTTATTTTTAAACTATAACCACTAANTTTATAACATCAACTGCTTGAACAACCTTAATATTAATCAAAAATTTTGAATTTAATTGAACAACATTAACTGAAGACTTTATTTATTTATTTTTAAACTATAACCACTAAAACAACGTTGTTTCACTAGTTAGTGATTTAAAAATAAGTCCTAGGATAAAACGATGTCATTTCAGCCCCAAAAAACAAATATAAAAAATTAAAAAAAAAACAAAATCATCACGCATCATACTTATCGAATGTATCATATCGTGCGTATCGTATTATGTATCATATGATATGGTGCAAAAACGATACAGAAACACGATATATAGTGTTTTTCTAGTACATCGTGATGTATCGTATGATACGTATCGCGTATCGTACAATACTAATAATTATGGTCAATAGATGCACGCCCTCTTATCTTCTTATAGGAAATAGCTTTGAGGCTTGGGATTGCTGGGTATCCAACCCTCAACCCCTTAATTACCATATATGTAATGTACTTCAACCCGTAAATTAACCTTCAAGTTGGTGATATTCAATATTTTCTATATCTATCATCTTTCCAAATCAGACGGGGTTAGCCAGGCCAACCTGTGATTGAAACAGTAGACATGTAACTAGACCGTCAAGGTTATTGGCCTATTCGGATCCAACAACTATGAGTGAAACCAAAGTAGTCATTCAGGTTTAGACAATTCTAAGCAACATGTAAGAGAAATAATTTCCCCAGTCATAAAAGTTTCTTATATGTGAACCTAACAGACAAAAAAAAACCTTTTTCTCTGACTCTGCAGTCTCTTCAAAAGTCAAATCCAGCGAATTATGCTCCCCATTATGGAGTTGATTTGCATGTGAATTCTCCATTGACGGCACTCTTGCCTTTTGCTGATTAAATTGCATAGATCCATCAGCTTGAGAAAACATTGCCTGCACTGGAGGCCTCAAACCAGCAGATGGGATCGGCAAGGCACCAGGTATCCCTTGCTGTGGTCTCAAACCTAAACATAATCATAGCACTTAATGAATTATAGAGCATTTGATCAAATTAGATTAAAGTACTTCACTACTTCCAATAAATAAATACCAGAAGTGGGCCCCCAGCCTGCAGTTCCAGAAGAAACATTGGGTGGGCCTGCCAGGGACAACAGAGTCTCATCAAGGAAAACACTACTTGGAAGCGTTGGAGCAAGAGGATGGCCTTCCCTGTATCGCTCCATTAGGTAAAGAGCAATACAAAACTCCCTCAAGGAAAGCATGCTATCATTATCTTGATCTGATAGATCCCAAACCTGCTTTAAGACCTCTGAAAAAGGCCAAAATTTATATTGCTGAGTATAATATGATCAGAGAACAAAAAAGCGTATCCACAAGGAAATAAGACATCAAAGATGACAAAATTCGATGACTCCATCCCGAAATTTTGAATTTTATGCCTTCAATGTTATGAAAAACTTGCAGCTGGCGAACACTCCAGGTGTTTCAATTAATTTCGGACATGGAAAAAAGTTCACTGCAAATTTTGTCTCCCAGCTCCTATTATCTCCACGGATATAATATCATTTCATTTCTAAATTTGCTTCATATCCACATTTATATAATTTTTCCATGAAAATAATATCTGGGAAGTGTTTTATGGTGATGAATTGAACCTAAAGAATTGACAGTGGGCAGTCTAAATCCATTAGGATCTAGGCCAAACCACAAATGAAGAGTGACAGAGTCAAGAGAGCAAAGCATAAAAAATATGTGAAGCCCCTGTAATGCATGGGAAAAAGAAATATATTAGCATTCATTCATCACAAAAATGATTTAGATTATAACTAAATATGCCAAGCCTAACCCAATGCCTGCTAATGGATAGTAGATGGTGCAAACGAATAGAACACGCATACAGTTAGAATCTGCATACANTATTCATTCATCACAAAAATGATGTAGATTATAACTAAATATGCCAAGCCTAACCCAATGCCTGCTGATGGATAGTAGATGGTGCAAACGAATAGAACACGCATACAGTTAGAATCTGCATACAATGTTCCATCATAAAAGCATATCTAAAAACATATTAAACATGATAGAGATTGTACAGGACTGCAAAAGTTGGATTAGCAATTTTTTTTTCTGTAAGGGCCCATGGAAATAAACAAACATATGCAGCATAAAACTTGAAGTCTAAAACACCTAAGTTAGGGGCAATTTGTTTGCAAAACTGTGGCTATCAACTTAATTTATTTGAAATGTGGTTAGGGTCATATGTACACTGAGAAAAAAAATTTCTAAGATATCTGGTTTTGTTGTCTTCTATGTCCAACACATTGACAAGTGATTTTACAATATATTTGAAATTTATTCTTTCTTTTAGAAATCGAAAATCAAAAACAGAACAGGGTTCCAATTGCTTTTAAAAACTTTTTTTTTTTCAAAGGCTCAGTAGCAGAAGGCAAAATCAAGGCAGCAGTGTTTTGGCCACAGCAAAGACACTTGCAATGTGACAATTACCAACCCATCTGCATCTTTACCTCGATAAACTGTAAATAAACAAATTAAATTGAACTTAATTTTTTTTTATCAGCAACAAAAAAAAATATCAAAAATTCAAAAAACATTACATGAAGAACAAGTGAATCTCCAAAAAGGAATAAGAAAGGCATAAATACACAAAAAACAAGTTGCTTCTCACAAACAGGTCTACATTCTACCCTAATTTAAAACAAAGTTGTTAGATCATAATTTGTAATTAGCTAATTTCGTGAAGTCTACTGTAAAATCTTAACCATTTCCATAGTCATAATACTATCAAATTCAAAATCCGAAAACAACAATAAAGGGAAGAGATCAAGCGTCAAAACTACATCATTCAACCTCCATATACACCTTCATGCTTAGGACAAAGGTAATGACCTAAACACCTAAGATGAACCCTAAGTAATTTTAACTTAGGATGATTAAGATGAAAATAGAATTGAAAGCTATCCGATTATTACTCCTGGGTGATTTTCAAAGAAAAGTTTTTCTAAACCATTTTTGTGTTTTGAAATATAGTTTGAGTCTCTAACCCCTCTTTGAGTAATACTCTTTAGTGCTCAACCGGACAAGTTTTTTCATGATTTTAGGCTTGAAAAACATGTAGGGAAACGGTCTTAGGATAAAAAAGAAAAAGGACAATGGGATCAGCACAGGACTCGCTCTATGAGCTCGCTCGAGCGGTCCTAGTCCTTAGCTGGCTTGAGACGTTATTTTTCACTCAGTGACAACCGCTCTCTCACCGATCGAGTAGTCATTCGCAAATTTGAATTTTCTTATTTACTTAGACTACTCTTATTTTGAACCTATAAATAGGGAGAGTATTACCCACATCTAGGTCAAGCCTTGAGAGAGTATTTTGAAGAGAAAAATCTATCCTTCAACATTAAGAGTTTCAATCACAACCTAGATCCCTAAGATCTAAACGCTACCACTAGTGATTTTTTCTATCCTCACAACTTGGAGTAGAAGATCTTGTTGGTGAACAAACCCACTGGTGTGTGCATACCGAGGACCGTTGGCATGCCCATAATCGTTCAAGGCCTAGATGAACTGTGTAGCAGGGAGATCTAAGTGAAACTACACCAAATGTAAAAAGGGGAGTTTCGGCGAAGAGATATAGCAAGAAGAGAAAAATCTAGCCATGGTGATGGTTAAGGTATAAGACTCGATTGCTTGTATGTTAACTTACTAAGTAGTAGATTAAGCTTTAATAAACCCTGAGTGGTTTCCTGCAATTTTTCCAGAGAAGGGTTTTTCACGTCAACAAATTGCTTGTGTCTCTTATTGATTATTGTACACACTTGCATTTGTTAGCACACACGCACACTATATGTTTGATGTTTTAATTATTTGATATCATATCATCCATAGTTGTGCAATTGAGTTTGTTGGGATAGCCGTGAGATTTACTTGAGTGAATTAATTACAAATTAATTGAAATCAATCGTCGTAGTTCAAATGGTTGGTGGTTTTTGAAAAGGGGTTCTCATTGTTAATTTCAACATTCAATTGAGAAAAGGTAATTAAGGTAGACATAAGTTTTAATTCGTAATCAATTTGAACTAAAATTAAAAAACCTATTCATCCCCCCTCTAGGTTAAGTGTCGCGGTCTCTACGTATATAATCGTGAGAGAAGATCTATATTGGGTTTTCCCCCTAGAACAACAATTGGTATCAGAGTGTGGTTGCCTTGAGATCATAAGACATTGTGTAAGCAAATCTTGTTTTTGCTTACTTGCCCAGTTGTTTGCCTCTAAGAGATCTATCNTCCCCCTAGAACAACAATTGGTATCAGAGTGTGGTTGCCTTGAGATCATAAGACATTGAGTAAGCAAATCTTGTTTTTGCTTACTTGCCCAGTTGTTTGCCTCTAAGAGATCTATCATCAATACAAGTTAGTTTTGAATGGAGTCCCAAAAGGAAGGAGGATCAATTGCACACTACCTCTCTTTGATGGTTCTAACTTTGCATTTTGGAAAGCTCGCATAAGATCATTTCTAAAATCAATTGATGTGAGACTATGGTTAAGCGTGAAAGGAGATTGGAGCCTTCCTACCGCCACCACGCAAGGTGAAAGTGGTGAANGTTCTAACTTTGCATTTTGGAAAGCTCGCATAAGATCATTTCTAAAATCAAATTGATGTGAGACTATGGTTAAGCGTGAAAGGAGATTGGAGCCTTCCTACCGCCACCACGCAAGGTGAAAGTGGTGAAATAGTGGTTGAATTGAAATCCCCAACGACTTGGTCTAAGATCGAGATCGAATTGACAAGGTGAAACTCAAAAGGCTTGAATGCGATATTCAATGCTGTGACACCTAATAAGTTCCAAAGGATCACAAATTGCGAAACTTCAAAGGAAGCATGGGATATCTTGGTTGTTTCCCACGAAGGGACTTCCATAGTGAAGATGTCTCGAGTCCAAAGGTACACCTCTCAGTTCGAAACTTTAAGGATGCAAGATAATGAAACATGTAGTGAATTTTATACTAAATTGTGTGATATTGTTATTCATCATTTGCATTAGGTACCAAGGTTGACAATGTGGCCATCAAGTGAAAAATCTTGTGATCTCTACCCGAGAGGTTTTATGCTAAGGTCACATCTTTGGAAACAAGTGTCAACATGGAGTTGGTGTCACTAAAAGACCTAGTTGGGTCTATCTTGACCTTTGAGATGAGTCTTCCATCCTTAAACCAAGCTAAGGGCATTGCCTTAAGCTCTACAAATCAAGGAGGTAAATCTAAATCACTCCGATTAGGAGAGGAGGACCTAGACTTGATTACAAATAAGTTCAAAAAATATTTCAAGACTAGTAATGTTGAATCCTCAATATCGAAAAGAAAACCTAATAGACATACTCCTAAGGTGGGAAGAAAGAAAGGGAGAAAAAACTCTCGAAAAGAAGATGAGAGAAAGGGGCAAAGCTTCCATTGCTTTGAATGTCAATGATTTAGACATCGGAATGCCCAAATAGAAAGAAGAGAGATTTGTCCAATGCAAAGAGGAAGGCTATGAAAGCCAAGTGGAGTGATAGTGAAAGTGAGTCAACCTTAGGTGATGACTCATCTTCTCAAGATGATAAAGAGAACTTTATGACTTTTGTAGGACCATTCTCCTCTCCCCTTAGAGAAACTTCCACAAGTGGAGTTGAAACAAGTCCTATCACGAAGGTAAAAGACTTGGAAGAAGAAATCCGCACGTGTGGAGAACAAAGAGTGCTATGAGGATATTCAAGATGTATATGTTCAATTGTATGTACAATACCTCAAGCAACAAGAGAAGGTGCTCTCCTTGAGTGAACAAGTTAACTCAAGTGAAGAAAAAACAAAAGCTCTTCAATTGGACTTGGTGAAGTTGAAGGCCCAAATTTGTGGCCTAGAGGATGAGAAGAAGTCTCTCCTTGATTGAGTGAGGTTTTTTAAGAGAATGTCATGAGCTTGTGAAGTCTAAGAAGAATCTTGAGTCAAAATGTGCCAAACTTGATAGAAATCTTCGTGAATAAAAAGAACTCTCTAATAAACTTCCTCAAAGCAATGAAAGTTAGATAGGATGTTGTCCATGGGTAAGAGTGTAGGTGATAAGTGTGGTTTAGGCTACATAAATGAACACACCTACACTTCTTTTAAAATCGTGTTTGTGAAGGGTATCACCAAGGATCAAAATGTCGTGTCGACACGTCTGAAACGTTTCGGAATTTCAACACTCCGAAACGAAATAGTAGTTG